ATATGATGCATATAGGATTTCATTAGAAGAAAACTCGGCAAACCTCGTTTCATTTAATTGAAAAATATACACATCTCGTGGTATATCATTGATACAGCGTATATAACACACACACACACACACACACACACACACACACACACACACGGTGCACCTATTTGTTAACTAAATATAACCCTGGTTTTGACAATCACCTGTGTTTGTAAATTGTGACCTGCAAGGTCATGGTACCTTCTTATTCGTTCATGTATCACATTTCCTTCAATTTTCCTATTCTTTTACTAACTAGTTTTTTTAATACTTTTTATTGGTCTTATCACCCTCCAGAAGATTCAAATTAAATTATTGGTTATGAGTCTATTATGATGGTCGTATATAAAAAGACATGATAACGTATCCTTGGCACCAGTGGCGTTGCTAGGGTTGGTGTTACCTTGTGTGGTAACTCAAAACTTTTATTGATAGTCATGTGCGGTAACTCGCGGTGTCACCCCCAGCCTAACCTTCTTCTTGCACAAAATTCAAAAACTATATAGAAAGTCTTTTTTTCACCTTCCTCTTATTGTGTCATCCGGTGAGATCCACACCCCCGACTGTACCGAATCAAGAAACATTACTGTGATTTAGCCCATTCTGTTAGGCTAATTGGCTAGAATGCGCATGCCTTGACCATGTCTTTTATTTACCAAGCGTGTTGGATGTATGGTGCGATGGTTTTGTTCTCCAAGCCATGCTCATTATAAAATATTGTCTCTAATTGCACGCTGAGAACCAAGTTGAATTAACAAAGAATAGTAAAAGAAAAAGAAGGAAAGTGATATAAAGCAGACGAGAAAGACTCAGACTACATCCGCAAAAGAAAAGTAAAACATAAAAGCGAATTTTTTTTAAAAAAAATTTAATTTATTTCTCATTTAGTGTCAGCAGAATAAACTAGAACGCTAGCTGGTGCCTCGGGTGTTCTCTGCTTGGAACACTAAATTGAAAGTCTTGCTCGCTCGTCTTCATATTTGTCACATGTACAGGACTTTCTTTCTTTTAATATTTACCAACTTCACGGTGCAAACTGTTTGCTTGTTTTGAAACAGCCTCCATGTTTTCGGTGCGATTTTTATTACTCAATGCCGTTAACGTATTCAATAATAATGTTTTTTTGAAATAACACTAAAAGCTGTCGATAACAGCGATGTACGAAAAGCGCACACGCACAAACAAACACACACACGTAAATGCACACACATGTGTGTATGTGTGTACAGAATGTATGCTGTATCAATGATATGTCTCATGATGTATACATTTTTCATTACAATGAAACAAGGCTTGCCTAGTTTCCTTTTAATGAAAAATATATACCACATTTAATTAATAATAATATATTGTTAGAAAATAATAATATGTTTAAGAAACAGCAACAACAATAATGATAACAACAACCAACGAGTAATGTATAATATGTATGCCTCTTAACCGAGAAATTAATTGTGTATTGTCGATAGCTATTGCAACGTTGTATCTTTGATTATATAAATACTGTAGATAAATCTCAAGGAAAGTGTACGCATACCATTACGATGAAATATATTTTTGTAGGTTACTTTGTGTAAGTTCAGTTTCAAGGTTTTCTCACACTTCTTGTTCTCTCTCGCTCACGATTAATGCACACTTTTTCCCTTATGCGTGGGAGGCAAACAAAGGATTGCAATGAAATTGTGTATCATATTAAATTCATCTAGAAAACGATGATTATTAATTCTTGTTAACTTTATTTTCATACGCCGCTAAAGATTAAGGAACGAAAATTTATAATTGATTTATCAGACTAGAATCAACAGCACACAGTTGCAAGAATGTTTATATATGTGATGTATTGCGTCATGGGCGGATCACACTTTCATATACTAATAATATTGGTTCAGTTAATTATATTGGTAAACGGATTTGTTGAGCGAAAATTTATTTTCAATAATCTAAAACTAAAATTTATTTTACCAGGACATCTGTAGCAAACGTGGGTTGTTTGAATAAACTATTTGTATATGTTTATATTCATTTAATACGCACATTCAGAGTACCGACAAAAAAGTTCGTTTTCCATTTTTAAAAAATATCCTCACAAAAGTTTAGTCATTTAGCATTAAAAAGTATTAATGCAGTTTCGTTTGACAACATCCCAAATTAATTAACTTTTGAAAATGCTGTCATATTTAAGCTATTTTGAATGTAGATTCACTGCAAATATTCAAATGATAATAAAGTGAAAATAAATGGGTTTGAATACAATGGCACTTATTAACGTTACCTGCTTAGAGTTGAGTTACAGAATGAACTTTTTTTTAGTACATCGCACTCTTCAAATTATTATTCGTCTTTCTATTTTTAAGATACTTCACTAAGAACCATGCTTACAAGACTTAAGAAACTAGGATATATAGATCATATTGTGCTCCGCAAAACCGTCATATCCAGGGTGGGGATGTGACGAGATGTGCCGCGATTACCCACAGCCATTCTTATTGATATCACGTATTTTTCATTGTCTTGTTTTTATGTCTATATAATTATGTCGGAAAATATGTCAATTTATGCAAATTTAAAATATTATCATTCCGCCTCAGATGTGGGAGGTCGTGAGTACTATCCCCGACCGAGTCATAACAAACACTTACAAAAATGGTACTAACAGCTCTCTTGCTTGCTTGGCGCTCAGTATTAAGAGGTTAGTACTGATCGGACTGGTGTCAGGATGAAGGATTTTCATAAGAATGTCGCAAAAAAATCACGTATCAAAATTAAATTTTAATGTTTATGATTTTTCTAGTTTCAGAAAATCAAATCCCGAAGTTTGAAAAGAAAAATAATATTTCGATATATTTGGTTTTGACCATAGTGAAAATGTTTATCCAGTGTATATTTCAGAAAAACTTCGCAATCGACAATGAACTTGTTGTTTTATAGACATTATTATGTTTGGGATAAAAAATAATGGCCTAGTTAACAGAGAATATAATAAAGATAAAAATAAGAAATATTTTTGCTACTGTTGTCTGCAAGGTTTTTCTATAGTTAAAAAACTGCAAGATCATCTTAAATACAGTGCTAATGTTAAAAATAACAATGTCAGAAGAAAAAGAAGAAAGTATTAAAATTTAAAAATTATAACCATAAATTAAATATATTCCGTTCGTTAGTTATGCTGATTTCGAGTGTCTACTTGTTCTTGTGGCAGGTAAAGGAAATGATCCAAATAAATCAAGCACCAGAAAAATACAACGGTATATTCCCTGTGAAGCATCTTATAAGGTAGTTTGTTACACTAGCGATAATTTTTCAAGTCCAATAAAGTGTACAGAGGTAAAAACCTTCCGTCTAGTAACTAAAACATTTAAGAAAGGAAGTCAATAAAATTTTCAACAGATTATCCAAAACACCTTCAATAAAAATAACATTAACTCCAACAACTTGATTTTGATGATGCCGTTAATTGTCATACCTGCGAGAAACCTCTACCTGAAAAAGTTCAGGCTATAAAGTGTGCTATCACTGTCTTCTGACCGGTCAATATCGAGGAGCAGCATATAATAATTCTAATTTGAAAATTAATCCTCCAGATTATATTCCTTTTGTTAAATAAAAGAAATTTCGAAATACATTAAAAAATTTAAAACAAGCAGTAGATGCTGGATTAATTTTGAGAAAAGTTCATGGCGTGTTAAAATTTAATCAATCACGGTGGAAGGCAGAATAGATTGATATCAATACCAAACGTCATGTTATTAATAAGACTGACATTGAGAAAAACTTTTTCATGTTAATGTACAATTCCTAAAGCGAGTCAATATTGAATTGTAAAAGAAATATATCGCAGAAACAATTTAGTCAATGATGATGGTTTTGCTAGTATGAAAAATATTTAATGAAAATCTTGTTGCAATATAGCGACGAAATATAAACCGTTTCATTTTGGTGCAGCTGTACTTGATATATCAAAATGGCTAATGTACAAATTTCACTATAATTTTACCAAAAAGTATTAGCCAGATTCAGTGGTGATAACTGCTGACACAAATTAACGTATCCATGACGAAAGATGTGAGATTGTTTATCAAGAAATTTATAAGAATAAAAATTTATTTGTTTATCAGGTTATCCAAAATATAGTGGATTTCATGATGAGGCAAATAAAAATGTCTTCGGTAAGATGAAAAATGCAGTCATATTTGCACCCTTTTAGGGAACTTGTTGGACTAAGAAGTAAAATGTAACGATAAACGATGACGATAAACTGACAAAAAAAGTACACGATATTCCCCACGGATATGTTAAAAGTGTATGAAATTTGATAATTTTAAAGCAGCGCTAAATACATGCACTGATTTATATTAAAACAAATGTTATCAGAACAAATCATTACAAACTTGAAACAGATACCATTATAAAACGTGGGCTAAGTAATTTTGATAGAGGGATATTGTGATGATGAGCTATTGGACTCTTTGCCAGTACCAGAGATGACATATTGAATGCCATCTTTAATTAATTTTGTCTAAATTTAGAAATAATGTTCGAAAATTTAACACTGGACGATAGAGTTAGTAGCAAAGTTTAAAAAATATGGTTAATAGGCAGAAGTTATTAGTTAAATATAATGATGAAATTTCAGGTAATTGTTTAGAAAATTTGAAAAAATGAGAGTCTTGCTTATTAAATCAGATAACAGTAAATATTTTCATTTTCTTGAAAGACTGAGAGATGAGCTTATACTCAATTACGATAATCTTTAGGATCCGATCAGTCAAGAAAAATACACGAAAATTAGTATTGACCTGAACTGGTCGAAGGTTTTTTAACAGATGGTAATTATGTTCTCACCAGGATAGCAATTAAAGAGCTATTTGAATATCATCGAAAAGAAAGTCGGAAAATTTTTATTTGTATAAATACGATAATAAATTATTTCTGATATTTACAGTTGTTATTTTAATAATTGGTAATGAACCGCTCCGGTGACGTAGTGGTTAGAGAGTCTGCCTCGGATGCGGGAGGTCGCGGGTTCGAACCCCGACTGAGCCATGCAAAAGATTATTAAAATTGGTACTGACAGCTGTCTCGCTTGACGTTCAGCATTATTAGATAAGTGTTAGGACTGGTCGGCCTAGTGTCAGGATAATGTGACTGTTTAAGACATCGTGCTACATGTGTGCGGCATGATACCCCAGTGCAAGGAATCACTATAAAACTGTCACACTGCAGACATCGTAGTGATATGACTGCAAAATTGTTAAACTACGTTATAAATCTAAATCGCGCACAATTTTGGTGATGAAATTCTTCAAAAGGAGATAACTGTGTCTGTCTTCTTTGTATTTGAAGGGAGATAACCCTGTCTTCTAGTTAATAGTAATCAAGCAGTTATATTCCTTCTTATTAGATAATGTTACACTTCACTATATTTGACGTCGATAGTAGAAATCCTCAGAATGAATAAATAACTCTTCTATCGTCTGATGGGTCATCATTGTCACAAATCTGTAAACATGGTACATATGTATTAATCCATATCTGTAATTTTATGCATTTTAATGTGTTGTTTTATCAGAGCCAGCTATCATTAGCCATCATCTGTCAACACTAAGATCAAGAAAATGTTTCATTTACCTGCTTACTCCAGCAAATCCATCTGCAATATGACTACGAAGACAATTGCCACTGTCTGTTATTATAGTCATGTTTCCACTCTCGTGTATTATGACTGGTTAAAGCCCTGAAAAGGGCTAGCGGCCTCCCCTCCTTCCGAGGCAGGGCTCATCCGTGTCTCAGTGCTTGACACTTTTCTTGCCCCGGCGCGTGGGCTTGATACCCCTTCCCAGATGGTTTACCACCTTAGCCGGACAACACCTTCCGATGTTGTTGCTATCTGGGGAGGTGCATAGCCCCAGTGCTGGGCTTTTAGTCTAGTGCTTGACCTTTATACTGACGACCATAACAGACCTTTTTGTAATTCATATTAGCAGTCAGAGTGCCAATACCCCCGGACCCGGAAAAGGCAAAGGAAAGGATCCAGCAAAGGGCGGTACCGTAGTTGATTCCTCTATTCTTATGTCTTGAGATCCTCTTCCTTGTGTCTGTCTTACCCTGGGTCCACATATTTTTGGCTTTGAAAGTGTAACCTTTTCACATTGTTTTAATGTGGCCCAGGGCGCTTCCTACTGCCTTTCCTCATCCTTGATTGTAGGTACCCTGGTTTCCTTGAATTGACGGTGTCGGCAATGGACTCGACTTCCGCCCACTAAATTAAGTTCCTGTTTCTGCCCGTTGCCTATTGGGGGTGGGAGTCCCCTATCATAGCCAAATATGTGTAAGCCACATACGAGTCGAATGGATAGGAGTTGTGAAATTTCCTACTAAATATTAGTATTGTGTTTTTGTGTACTATGCGTACCTGTAGTTCCAAAAGTTGTGTCAAATTTGGAAGGTATAAGCTACCTTGTACATTTCAGTGATCTTAATTTGTTTTGACGGCGAGGTATACATTTTTTTCCCAATCATCCCTTAAAGGGCCAAAAACTTAGTTGTTATCCGAAAAAGAGCTCTTGCCAAAGTGAGCTCTTTGTAAGGCATTTTGACTAACCATATTTTACTACGCTGCTGTTAAAACAGCAGCAAAGTGATAGTAGCGATCTTCTTTCTTCCTCCTGTTTTCTTCAATCTTCTATCTTCGGCTGGCCATTTTCCTTTACGATATATCGTGTGTAAAAGAATTGATTATTACTTGTGTCTTCTTTTCTTCTGTTTTTCTTCCTGTCTGTTTCTTCTTTCTTCTTCTGTTCCTTTGTTCTTTTCTTCTTTCTTCTTCTGTTTCCTTTGTTCTCTGTTCCTTTGTTCCTTTGTTCTCCTGGAGCTCCTGGTAAACACGTCCGTCCTCTTCAAAGGCTGCTACTCAAGCACTCACCCTAAGCTTCCCCACAACAACCGATCTTTAAGCTTCCCCACAACAACCGATCTGCTCAAAGCTTCCCCACAACAACCGATCTCGACTACGAAGACAAATTCTTGCCGCCTTTTCTAGCTCTATAACGCCTATGCGAAATTTCCATTACGTAATTTTCTAGAATGTACTTTGGAATTTGCATTACGTAATTTTATAAAATGTTCTTGGAATTTCCGATACGTAATTTCTAGAACAGTTATTAAGTAGACTCCCTCCAACGACCATACACTAGTAGCAGAAGTCAACAGGTATGGAAAAGATTATCATAAATTATGGTGACGGTTATTGTTTAATTTTATAATTATTCAACATGACGGTTATAGTAGTAATAGTAAACAAATTGTTTCTTGATCAGAGACCCCTTACCCCAACATAATTTTTTTCTTCAGAATATATGAAAGTTAATATTTTGAGCTGATAAATTGTTAATATAGAAGAGTTTTGGATTCTGAAGATGGTCTCTGAGCTAGAAATCTTCTTTACAATTACTACTCCTTACATCTATCCTTCATCGTAAGTCAGGGTTTAAGTACCGAGGCCACCTGCATCCACTAAAGAATGTATTAAACGAATCGCTACAAATGGGTTCGCCAATACTGGAGCTAGCAAGGTATTGGAAAATCGATGCATGACGCAGCAAATCTCGTCTATGCAAATAAAAACCAGAAAATTATGCATCTAAAATATGATGAAAAAAACACAATATCTTCTTGATGTACCCCCCACACACACACACACACACGCGTGCTCTTGACGTTCATAACAAACTAAAAATACATTCTGCTGAAGTATGATGAGGTATGACACATTATATCTTTTATACAGGGTAGAGTATGGCTAAACAAAACTAAAATAATCAAATATGCGAAAATACAAGGCCTTTCTCTAGTGAGTAAGATGTTTATTTTCTATGTTTTTTCCACAATGCAGATCATGCAGTAAAGTGGGTATTTTGCGGAAACATTTTCATAGGTTAATAGGTAATTAATTGTGTGGTTCCTAAACCTGGAAGAATAGGAGCTGTCTTTTTATTATATATTTGATGGGGTGTCGGGTGTCTCTGTAATCACAATAACTGTGTTGATAACAACAGATCCATGTTTAATTTTAAATACAAACTTGGGGTCTAGTGGCTTAGATGGCCCTGGTTTCTTTGATGCTATGACAACTATGTTTTAGACCAGAGGTCAGTGGCAAAGGCAAAGTTTAAATGTGGCCCTAGACGAAGGTAACAAATATCAGGATGTTTTTATAACAATTATGGCTAGAGGCCTACGGTTTTATATAAAAAAGTTTGTAGGTCGGTAGCCCATATTTTAAGGACCAAGGAGTTAAGGGCATAGATTAGCAATTAGGTTAAATGTGCCCTAAACAAGGTAACAAACGTCAGGATGATTTTATAACAATTATGGCTAGGGACCTAAGGTTTTATATAAAATGTGTTTTTAAGTCGGTAGCCCATATTTTGAGGACCAATGGTTAAGTGGCCTAGATTGGCAATTAGTTTGGTCAAAGCTTATGACAGATGTTACAGGCCACTGGTCTAGGTTTATTTCACACATCTTTGAAGGTCATTGGCACAAGGTGAACGAAAGATCACATGTTAGGGGCAAAGATCAAAGGTTATGTATTTATAGTACGCATAGAGTAAGACGTCCATAGAAAGCATTAGCGAAGCTATGTATAGTGCAAATTGAACACTAGATGGACAGTTTGTAAACTGACAGATCAAAGGATATGTTGAATACAATGAAAGAAAAAGTACAATTGGTATGCATATAATACATATTATTTTGTGTCTTAAAATATGACTAAAATGCTTGAGACACATTTCTTTTCTTTTACAACAGTAGTTTGACTCCTTTATATTGGTACCAATTTGATTACATAGTATGTTCGTATTAACAACTCGTAAGTTAGAATCTTTTAAATATGTATTACTCTCATTTTTAAATATCGCAACTATATTTGTCCTTGTTGGACTACCCGTGAATGTCTTAATAAATTACTTCCGGACTTAGCTTAAATACATTTCTTTCTTTGATTCCTTGAGATTGTCAAAGTCAAGTACTTCCGGCCCTGAAATAAATGAAATATACATGTCCTAGTTTGACTCCTTGTCAATGTCACTGTCAAGTACTTTCGGCCCTGTAATAGCTGAAATATTCATGTCCTTGTCTAACTCCTCATGACTGTCACAGTCAAGTACTTTCGGCCCTGAAATTGCTGAAACATGCATTTTCTTATTGGACTTCTCGTGAATCTCACTGTAAATGATTTCAGGTGCTTTTAGTCGAAACTTCCGAAACTCTCCAGTGAATGTGGCGATAAAAATGGCAGTCAATAAAGCTGCAGCCCACTCTGATATTGTTGATACCAAATGTTCTATGTAACCCTGAAAAGAAAATAGCAATAAATCAAGAAATTCCTATTCAGACGTTAAAGCGTCAATGCATAAACAAGCAAAATGACGTATTTTCATAAAACTCTTTAAAATTCTGTGTGAATAGGAATCGAGACAATGTATTCATGTAACTAGCATGTGCCTCGATGTCAAAATCAGTTTGTTTACAATTTATTGTTTTTATTCTCCTAATTGAGACTCTAAATCAAAAATGTATTTTCAAAACGCCAAAGTACAGGGATTCATTTAAACTTTTATGTCAATTTCGAACGCTTTAACACGTATTCAAAAGAAGCATGATCTATTGAAGGATTTTCATAAGATTGTCGCAACCCTCTTTCTTTTCCTGTCTCCTATCGTCACCCCCAGTCCTAATACCACCATCATTTTACAAAGTGTTGGTAATAGAGACAACATAATTAATAGTAGTAGTAGTAGTAGTAGTAGTAGTTGTTGTTGTTGTTGTTGTTGTAGATATAGGAGGAGAAGGATCTAGTAAGCCAGATTTTGTGTTACCATGCTTACAGGAGAGCCTGCTGTCCATTTTAAATGGTTGGTTTGAACGATCTCTTGTGACCCTGCTTCTTTGGACGAAACGAATACTTTATATGGTAGAGTTAAGGAAATATCGATATATTGACTACGTTTTGATGAGAATCGCCTACATTTTCAAATCCA